CCCCTCCTACACTACTGTTTTCACTTGTATACTTGCCCTTCCCCCCCGTCCTTCTCTGCCCTCACATAGCTGTGTATATTTCCAACACCAGTCTGCTTTTACCGGTTCTCACGGTCTCTTCCCTTGCAGATTTCTTATATTTTTCTTCTACCCTGAAGATGGAGGCGATACGTTCCTCCGAAACGTCGGTTAACACCACATACACACGGTGCCAAATTCCAGAAGACTGCTTTCTTCATAAACTTCTCTTCAGCATGGGATAATGATCATTACACTTGATTTATTACCTTATTTTTATTATACTTTGTTGTGAAGTTTCCTGAGATTACCATCTATTTTAATTCCAAAGAATTCTGTCTTCTGGTATATAATGGCATCTAGTCTGGTGAAATGCAACATTTCAAAGGTACATATCACCTCCATCTTCAAGGTCAAAGTGTACACAAAGAAAGAAACTGCCATAAAGGAAGAGCTTGCTGATTGTTTCATGCTGGTTTATTGCCTGGCTTACTCTTTTACCTTGAAGATGGTGGCTATATTCCTCTGAAATGTCAGTTGACTTTCAATGGACTTCATTAAAAGATAGAACTCTTCATAGTCATGACTGTGAGAACCTCAAACCCAACATATTTTAATTCTGTTCTCATTTCAACTAGCTGTTGTCATGCTCATGCAAACTGGGTTCTGCCAATGACTGCTGGAAGTCATAATATTCAAGATGTGACAGACAAAAAACTCATGGCAATCAACAAATTTTATATTTTACCATGTAATTAAAAAATGGATATACCAGTCTTTGTTAGTACTTTACTGTGAAGTGTTCATGGTGTCAAGTTATTTTAAGTATTTAAATTATTTAATATAAATTCAACAAAAGGCAGAAAAACCAAGCTCTGATGCTATCTATAAGATATTATGGAAATACTCTGACTGTAAGAAAAGAAGGATAATAAAGCACTAATGATGTCTAGGATACTAACAGTGTAATATATCCAGGATCACCTGAAAGTGATACACTGTAAACAGAATGGAAAGAAAAAAACCGCATGACTAAAACCCTATTTATTAAAAAGACTAACAACCTCCCTTTGAGGTGTATAGAGGGCATGAAAGTAAAGATCCTTGCATTCTTGATGAAGTGATACCAGTTAAATGGGACAGAGAACACAGAACCATTTCCAAATGCAGTAAAGAGGAAAATACTTAACATTACTAATCTAAATCAACCAGGCATAAATTTTAACTTTTTTCACTGCCTTTTAATTGCAAAAAAAGGGATCGCCATTTTCTTACAATACTTGGAGGTGTTTTCTTACAAGGATTCCAAAATGAATAAGAATTTACCTACAAGAAAATCTACATGTAGCATTTCATTATTCACTTTGTCAATTTAAAAAATTAAATTTGCGACAAGAGACCAGCAAGTTAACAGACTGTTTTCTTGCTTGATATTCCCTGTTCTACGACATGAGCAAATGTGCAAAAATTTAACTGATTTTTATGACTGACTATATTCCTGCCATGTTCAAAATCAACTGAACTTATATAAATGATCAGCCCTGACAAATAATTTGTGCCACTCCTTAAGTCACAGCATTTCAAATTATTTTTTTAATGGTGACTTATGTTTAGTGACGTGTCCAAATAAAAACGTATGAAAGTGGATCTGTGGAACTAGTGTAAAAAGTAGCGTTCTGACCTTATAAAGACATTTCAGTATTTTTTCCTGATCACATTTAGCAAGAGATTATTACTATGGTATAGGGTAACAATAAGGATTTAGGCATGATGCCATGGCCAGAGTTGCATATTCATAAGGAGATGGATGAGCACCTTTAAAATTTTGCCAGTCTCAGCCTTCAGAGAATTAAGATTTCAACACACATTAGATAGAAGGTTCAGTGAACCCCAGAGTTGTTCTGCATCTATTAATAGTTGTGAAGAGAAAAATTCCAATGCTCATACACTCCACACATTTGTTTATAGTGTCAGTATTCCTGATCCCTTTGTGCTTCACACAATTGTTCATCCTGACCTATTTCACAAAGTTGCTATGTGAGCTCCATTACTAGCACTTGAATTTTTCACATATACCAAGCACACAGATGGCACACTTTTCACTTTGATATACAGAGAGCTCATTTGATAACAATGAATGTTGTTAAATCTTACTGGGTTATCAACCATGTCAAATGATTAAAAACAGCCAATGCTTCATGGCTATCTGTGACCCTATCATCAAGATCTGATGATTTCATTAACTTCAGTCACAATTAAAGCTTCATATATTACAGACAGGATGTGCTTTGCAGAAGTGTTCCAATGTCAGTCAGTGACAGAAGGCATTCATATTTCCCATTTGCGCTATTTCACAACTGACCCAGGAGTATGTGTAAGGTAATGTTCTTACAGTCTTAAAGACTGGGTGTGAGGGTGTGAATGGTGTGCATTTTAAGGCACATCAGCACCAACTGCTATACACAACTGAATGAAATTCAAGTCTAAAAATAAAACAACCTAAAATTCTGAATGTCAGACTGTAAATAGGACTGACATTAAAAAGAACCCAAAACTTAATAAAGAACAGTGATAAAACAGGTTGGCAGGTTGTCAGACTCTATAAGGGCTTGTAGTTGAGGTCCTAAAATAACTGTAGGCACAAATGTCAGATATGAACATAAACACGTGAAATTCTGCAATTTAAATAGACTTGGTAGACCACATACTATTTAGGAATGCCATGCCAAATGTCTCCAAGAATGTTGCACAGTAAGCCAAGATGATGAAATGTAATATAATACATAATATGGGAATTCCACAAATATTTGTAGGACAGTAATGGGGTATCTCACATGGTGTACAAACAGATGGCTGGTCACCACATAACAAACCTCCATGAGATAGAAAAGTGTGGGCAATTGAAATGTGTACCTGCACTGACTTCTTCTTCCCTGAGAGAAGTACAATACTTCAATTGACTGTTTCACAGCTCACAATTTGTTTTGCTGCGTATGACTTCATCTTCTAGGAAGAGAAAACAACACAATGAAGACAGGTGTGAACATCACTGCCAAAAGCTTGTTCTGATGTCAGGCTGGCCTGCATGCCCAGGTACGTAGCAAAACAACAGATTTCTGAGTATTCCTGATGTCTAACAATAGATGTTTACTCCCCATAACAACTGGGTGGTCAAGTGAATAACTCTAAAGATTCTACTAGACAATTAGGGAATCTGTACCCAATGCCAAATTTCACAATGAATGGACATTCTAGGTTATAGCAGTCCAGATCATAGTAGACCTTGCTCCAACTGCAGTGGAACATACACCAAAGTTTCAGAATCCCTGTACCTCTTTCATTCCTGCAGCATATAATGCATGGATTATTCTATATCCCAATTACATAATTACACAGTTTAAGATAATAAAATGCCTTTTATACAAGCAGGATAATTCAAGAATCTTCTTGAATTCTAATAAAATCACTATGCATTTATTAAACAAAATATTACATATTAAGTGAGGTATTTGAAAGCAATGAGTATCTATGTCTGAATTTCTCACTGCATAGAACGGATTGTTACAACTTCATATAACGGAACAGGCCAAGTGTGCTTGCAGTACTCAGTAACTTTTATTTATTACTCAAGATCTCTATTCAATAACGATTGTTATTCCATATGTGACCAGTGTTACTTACAGCCAGACTCACAACAGTCCTGACTTGGCCACTGACCATTCTGAACTCCTTTTTACTCACTTGAATTCACATTCAGAAGCATTTAAATGTTTATATAACAAATTTATGCTAGGTTTCATATACATATAACATATATTAAAAAGATGTCACAAGCATTTTTATCTGGGATATGAAGGGTTTCAGCATGTAACATGGTACTGGTGGTGACTGTCCAGCTGCGACAATAAAAGATTTCTTACTACACAGAAATGTCCATTTCAGAATTTTACTCTGTTCTTTCTGTAATGCTTCAGTGGATCTGTAAGAGTCTGGCTCTTGGGTGTTGAAATGTTGAAGATTCTTAACAGTTGCTAGTGTTATTTAGAAGTTTCATTAATAGCCATGGTTTACGAAAGCATACGTTTCAAAATCCATCACAATGAAAGACAGAATTTTATGCCAAACACAGGACAGAATATTCCAAAAATTTTTAACCTGTTTAAACATTTTCAGTGAATAACAACAGTAATGTCCTCCGTACGACACCATAGCGCATATGTAACACAAGAATCATTTTATCACTACCGCCATCATCATTCAAGTATTACAAAAATAACAGCAACGTCTTTCAAAATAAATTATTCATTTAATGTTTGGTTTCAAAGCAAACATGTAATAGTATCAGTAATAGCAGCAGCAGCAGCAGCAGTGGTAGTAATCATAAAGATGCCCAAAACAAATTACAAATTTTAAATTAGTGGTAGTGGTAGTAGTAGTTCTTGTTGTTGTTGTCATGGTGGTGGTAGTAGAATCTCATATTTGAGATTTCTCATGAAATCTCATATTTCCCTTATCTCAGATCTGTGACTTGCTTGGTCTCATCTGAATACCTTGGATCATTGAATTATTAGCCATACAGGAAGCATGAGAACTGCACTTTCAAACCCAACACATACATACCAATAGTCTTCATTCTCTATACTTTCTTAACCCGAAGCCAAGAGGAAAGGCCATTATACTCCAATCAATTTGACCATGGAATGAACATTAACACAAGTCAGGCAGGCAGTGATGAAATGCAAGCTTCCTACTGGTTGGCGGCCGGATGACTGAATCAAACATTTCCTTTAGTGTCTAATAATTTAGGTTATTTTTCCCTCGTTAACTTTATTAATAACATTTAAATTAATATCCATAAAAACGAATCAGAAAGGACGTTTCACATATCCCTGCTTCTCTGTAGAATAACAAGCATAAAAGTATATACACAGATGCAGTGTTTAACCCTTTCAATACTTATCTTCTTTGGCTAATTTAGAATAAAGAAATGTCAAAGGAAGTACATATGTGTCTGTAGCACTGAAAAGGTTAAATGTGAAAATCCTCAACTAGGGTGCATTGAAAGTTCTCCCCATAGACCATTCCTGATGGAAAAATTTTCATTTTACATGTGCATGACTTCAGTCAAGGGCAAATATGCGATTCAAATATCAGACATAGTTTAAGAAGTGGCACATTCAGAATGAGCAACACAGAGCACAATATGTAATACAAATTCACGGATGATTTCAAGCCAGCCCATCTAAACCAAACAAGAGTATAGTACTGAAGACTTAGGTAGAATAGCCACTGGGAGAAAAATGTAATTTTTTTATTTAAACACCTCAGTACCAAAAACTGACAACCTTTTAGCTGTTATTAATGATAAACTAAATCATGAATTAATATACATTATTCCTCAATTCTTAGTGCAGAGAACTGGACACCATATAAGTAAAACTTCAATAAGTGAAACGATGTCTTTTTATTAAATTATTTTTTATCTGTGGTTGTTGTTGGGGAACTCCTGTCATGCACCTTGCTTCAATAAATTTTAAAGCAACCCTGTGCCTAAGATATAAGGGTACCTGGAGACACAACTATATACATTCTCAATATAGGAACAGATAGAGGCAAATGATCCAATTCAAGCTACAGCTGCCATATCCCTGGGGAAACTACTATTTCAGAGCTACTGTTATTCTGGTTGAGAAAAGAAAAATTTCCAAAGCCCCTCCATGGCATTAAATTTCAGCTACCCAGTTATTATTGCCCTTTTCAAATACCCTTGTTATATGGCTCGAAATCAGGAGCACGAAATGAACAGATTTTATATTCCAAAAAGGAAGATTTTTCATAAATAAAGAATTGTGCACCATTAATGCAAGGTTCTTAGTTGCAGAAAAAATCATATAAATTATAATCAAATTTCTGAATATTCACACATTTTGTCGTTAGCATAAAATACATTTCCGGTTCAATTTTTACTTTAAATTTGATTTTTAAAAGACATATCACGTAAGTAACACTTTCTCTATTTCTCATAGTAGGAAATATATGTCTCATGGTACAGTACAGTGAAGTATGTATATCCCATTTTAATGACTCCCAAATTGACTTCAGACCAAACAATTTCATCATACAAAGCTTTAATAGAAATCATGGCAGAAAACTGCACAGACTATGACTATTACACAAGATATTAAGTTTTCACAGTGGCTAAAGTAAATAAAACGTTTTCAGGATATTAAATGTGTCAGCTGGTTAAAAATTACTGACATTTCAGGTACCATCTCTGTCCCCATTATCAAGATTAGACCAGATTTTATTAGGATTATTATTTTGGACACACAGTCTCAATCAATGAGCTTTAGTTTGAAGAAACTCAAGATAATGGACCATGTCAAAAATTACTGTTACAGTTATGGTCACATATCACTGTCAGAAACCTTTGACACTTAAGTGCTTCAATTAATTAAAAATTAAATGCTTTCAGTATTGAAGTCTAGCCTGGATTAAAATTGAATTCTCCCATCTACACACATTTATTTTTGGGTCACTACTTCTGATTTTTTCAACCTACCTGCACGTTCCAATTTTATACAACTTTCACAGAGAATTCGATAATTTAGATACCCAGTTCTTATTCACAAGACGTTACCAATCCAATGTAGAAGTTTAAATTTTATGTAATTTTAATATTAAAAACTGACAGAATGCTTAATAAAATCCTATGCAAAGTAGGATGAAGCAGAGCTACACTATGGTCACAAACACACCATGGCCATCAACACAAAATAAATTAATTGTTTGACATCTCCAGACTAAAGAAAAAGGTGACAATGCTTGCAAAGGTAGATGAGAATGGAATTCAGTTGCTAGACTTTAAATATATGTTAGCATCAAAGTAATTTACTGCATGAACATCAAGGCTGCAGATGTCAAACCACTCGTTTAATACATACATCATATAAAATATTGATTTTCAGTTTTGTTTATATGTACATTGGTCCACAGCTTTCCAAATGATACAAGAACAAGTCCTTGGCCACATGTGTTTTAATATCATGGAAAAATATAATCTTATTCATTATGAACAAATCTTCACTTAACAAGCCTGAAGATAATGAGTTTCACATGTATAAAATATATGTACAATGCCTATGCTGAATACAAAGTGTGCAGTTTGGCCTAAAATCTACTTATAATCACGATGACCAGTGAATTCCTGCTACACTGAAATCATGTTTGCATCTTCTAGTACATGTAATTCATGATCATGATTTATCAGACTTGACAAATTTGACAAATGATATAATTTAACCCATAATATCTGGATCAGCTGAAAATCCAAAGTAGCAACATAAATATAACAACAGTTATGGCACATGCAACTCCACTTAGTGTGGTGCAAAGTGCACCTTGGTCTTCAACAGTTCAACAGACACCATGTTGTACCTGCCTTTAATTAGTAACCTAATGCAATGTGTAATATTACTAAACTCCTGCAAGAATAAATATGTCTAATTCCTGATATGAAAACAAGTTTATATGATAGGGATGAGTCTCCTTCAATTATGCTAATTTTGCTCATGGATCTTAACCAAGTTTAGTTAGGCTGCTTTTATGAACACACTCAACTCCAGTGTCAAAGAGCTCTCACAACATACTGTAAACACAGGACAAAGTAAAAACATAGAAGAGTTTTGGCAGCATTTAAACAAATCCCACTGAAATATTAATATTTCAAATGTGTATTTTGCCTCCTGGGCAAAACTCTGGACAATGGGCTCAGCTTCATGAATTTCAAGCTGAGTCTGCATGTGGTGAGGGAATCACAGGACAATAAGCAGTGATGTGTACAAGGCATGTTCTGATAACTCAAGCTACCAAAAGATCAGCTAATGGTGTTTCCAAAGATTGTCACTTACCTAGAAGTTAGAAGCAGATTAGTCAGTGTATATAATAAATTCTCTCAGTTTTATATGACACTATAATGTAAACACTTTTATATGGGATACCATAAACACATTCCATCCCTATCACATTTTATGTATAAAAAAGGTATGGATAGATTGGCTGTGAGTATCACATTGCTTCGTTTGTTTTCACACTTTTATACTAAACACACAGAAACAATATTGCAATGCTTTAAGTCACAACCAGGACTATAAACAATTATAAATGACAAAAAATAGTTCAGTACTCTTGCATAAAGTATATCATGTTCCTCAAGTCCCCAGTCTCGTATGTAAGGCATATACTGAGCCATGTTGTTTAATGTGTATGGTAAAGCTTACTATTAAGCATCAATTAAATATGTTTAAGAATAAAATATTCTGTAAATGATGTAAAATGATACTTGATGTTCTTATTACCTACAAGAGTGTCTTTGGGTAATGCTACTAACAAGTACATAAATAATGCACATAAAAATGGTTTGGAACTCAACATCCTTATGAAGGATTCTCCTGAGGATATCATCATCTCTTTTCCACATTTTCATCATATATATGATCTTTGCATTCTCATGCACAGAATTATGGACACATAAGAAATGACAAGAAAATAAGTCAACAGGTAATATTGACAAGTATGAAAACGTGGCTTCTTGTTTCTTGAAATGTCACCATTTCATTAAAAAATTCAATTGGTAAGAAACACGTATAAAAAGCTTCAGATTGTATGCAACAACTTGCTCCACTTGTGAACGAACAACTGGCACACCAGTTTTCTCTCACTTCTGAATTCATCAGGAATATATCAACTGGAAATATATATACACCCTTTGGTCCCTGAAAGTGTAGTACTTGCATTTGTACATCCCCTTAATATTTACATTGCACAGTAGTTCATTATAATAGTTATAATATGGTAATGACTGTTCAATCGACTAGTATAAATTAACGTTTTAAACACATTTCATAATAAAAATATTAATGGGGACTCAATTCACAGCTGCATGGTGAAATTTTGGCAACATTCAGGGAAGAAAGGGTTTGCTATTTTGTCCTTTCAGTTCATGGGCACCTATAAAATATCAAAATGAGGATGTGTCAACGTTATTGGCTTGTATAGTTATTCTCCATATTTGCTCAGTCTCACGCCCGTTTCTGAGCCCATTTCATATCATCAGCCCTTGGCCGACACCCAGTCACTTGTTCTATTACCCACTCAAGCATCTGCCAGAAACAAATCTTTTCAAGAGGCCAGTTGAGCCAGCCAGTGGTAATGCAGAAGTATGTCTCATGTGGGGCCACGTGGTGAATTCGGTGGTGACGACGTGGTAAGATCACATGGTACTCTTGGAGGAACACTACCCATGCTGGCAAACCAAAGTAAGTGTGGGACCACTTATGAATCTGCAACATAAATATTTAACAGCACCTTGATGCTACAATCAATACACTCTTATGTACCAATTACTGGCCATGGCACACTTGCATGAGAATATACCACTTTATTACATACAATTATCCAAAGCAACTGTACTGTTATCACAAGCTTTAAGAAACCTGATAAGCCACTATAAAAAAAAACATCAACATAGTACAGAATGAATCAATGGTGTACCTACAGTATATATAGTAACTATGCTTACCTAGTTAAATCTGATCACTTCAAATTACTTTCTCTTCTCTGAAACAGTATGAAGGTGGTCAACTGCTCTGGTATTCAGAAATCTCATTAAGATAGAAACACAAATTACATTAAAACTACTCTGATTAACAAGGACTGTCATTTCATTTTAAGGTCTACATACACTATTGTGTTTGCCTTCTTTACTTCCAGCAATGGACTCTTGTAATGTTTTAGCCTATCTGTCAAGACCACTAACACCTTCACTGATATGAACTACATTAATGAAGCACAACCTTTTCCTTTCAAAGGGCCACACTGCAAAACAAAAAATGTTAAAGTAAAAGATGTAATTAAATGTAAGTCGCTTGACCACTGAACGTGCACTGCGGATGCTAAGTGTTTCAAGACAATTGTCATAACGTTCAATGATTGCTGCAAGATTTTCATCTTGTGTAGATTCATTCAGATTTAATGAAAAGGCTTATTCGCTAAAATGTAACTGCTTCCAACCAAGCTTGCAGAAACAGCCGCCTCTGCCACAGAATTTGACATTTGTTTGAATTCAGACCAATGCTCACACCAGAAAAGGTGCATCTGTCCCTCCGCTTCATTACTTAAACACTGTATCATGAACATATATGGGGGAATGGACATACAGCTACACTTTTCTTGACCTCAGCACTAGATGGAGATGAGTTATCAGCTTCACACTCCAGCTGCTTTACCCTTAAGAAAGAGCCCCCAGTACCCATAGGGTATGAGAGTGTTTGAGCCCCAGAGCCAGTCTGGACATTGCGGAGTAGGGAAAAATCTTTTGCTCCAGCCAGGAATCAAACTCCGGACATCCAGCCCACAGCCTGTCAATATACCAACTGATTTACCCCACCCGTCAGTTCATACCACAGTGTAAGTCAGCCCCACTCATCAGTTCATACCACAAAAGTAAAGTAAAGTAAAAAACAGGTATCCCTGTAAGAGGCCATGGAGGCCCATAGGGTTGTGAGACGTTGAGGTTTCTACATTTTCTAGACAGTCAGCTCATAGATGGCTGTAAGGCTGTGAGCCTTATGCACTGGCCACCCTTTACCCCCAAGAACATTCCATGAACATTCCTGGTACTCATTTCTGTTACAGGCTGAGTCGACCCCAAGGCCATAGTGCAGCTGAAAGGATTAGGTAAACTGAAAAATAATCAAATGACCTCATCGGGATTTGATCCCGTGACCTTCTGGCTTGTAGCATAGTGCCTCAACCAACTATGCTACCATGTGCCCCCTGTTCATACCACAGAGTCAATTATTTCAACTGCATAGCAGCTTCAGAATCTTCATATGGTGTTTCAAAGAAGTCAGCATATGTTCTGAACAGGGCTCTGTCCTGATCAAAACCCACAGATGTCTTAAAATTACTGCTGGAGCTGTTCAATATGTCTCATGTACTGACCACAATTCAACTTGTATTGTTGAACTGTTTTCTGTTGTGTTGGACAGTGACAAATGTTATATTCAAAAGCTGCAAATGAAACAATGATTATGCTAAGTTTACTGCTCATTTTATTCTGGTTTCTTGATCAGCTTACTCTCTGACCCTGAAAATGGAAGTGATATGTTCCTGTGAAATGTCACCTGACATTCACCTGATTACATGGTGTTATATCCCAGAAGACAGGACTCTTCAAATAACAATAATTTCTAAATACAAACCACTCCGTCCAATGTGACATATAAGTTTTTACTATATTAAAACTTATCTCCCTTACATGGTTCGGTCCTTATGGGCCATCTTCAGAGGGAACATCATTACAAACTGGAAACTACCATCACAATAGGTGTTTTGATTTAAAATACATACATTTATATCCTATAGTGCACAGTACGCTTAAAGTCGAACGTTTCACAATCACAGCAGCTTCCTGGTGTTGTAAAGTCTTTAAAAGTTTCTAGATGTTATTTAAAAAACCTTTATTGTCAATAGTTAAAATTTTTTTAAACCACGAACAAACCCTGGACGACATCAAGAACCTCCTCATCAATATAGACAGGCGGCACAAAATCTGCCCCATACAAGGAGGGCGATAAGAGTATGGACACGAACCTACGTGGTTTAAAAAATTTTAACTATTGACAATAAAGGTTTTTTAAATAACATCTAGAAACTTTTAAAGACTTTACAACACCAGGAAGCTGCTGTGATTGTGAAACGTTCGACTTTAAGCGTACTGTGCACTATAGGATATAAATGTATGTATTTTAAATCAAAACACCTATTGTGATGGTAGTTTCCAGTTTGTAATGATGTTCCCTCTGAAGATGGCCCATAAGGACCGAAACGTGTAAGGGAGATAAGTTTTATCACAGTAAAAACTTATATGTCACATTGTTCAGAGTGGTTTGTATTTATAATTGTTAGTGTGATGGACCAGAATGAAACAAATAAACAATAATTTCATTCAGAAAGCCGACAGACTGTACAGTTCATTTAAAAGATGGCATTTCCATTGCAGCTTGCTATTTAGATCATCCAAGTGTTCACAGATATCTGTCAAGAAGGCCTGATCACATATCCAACTCTAGCTTCGAAGAGACCCACAAGTTCTCCTTTCTGATGAAAACTTTGATTTCTTCTAACAGTGATTGAGAACACTGTAGCACTTTACCTTTGCTAAGCCAACAAACTTCATAACAGAAATTAGTGTCACCATATTCGCTTTGGATGACCGACAGCCCCCCCTACCAGTCGATACCAGTACCAGACTGATGCATAAACAACACTAAGAATATATTATAACAAAGGGACATTTATAGAAAAAAAAATAAAAGGTAGGAATTATAATGTGAGGATTTAAAAATAAACAGAGATTTAATTACATAACTTAAAGGTGTTTTCAATCCTCAACGAACTGAGTCATCTATTACATGTTAACACATTAAGGGCCGGCAATTAAAATATTTAAATGACACTGGGGACCGGCATTTTTAAACCAAGTACCCTAACTTGTGCACTGTTCGCTTTAAAAATTAATATAAAATCTCCTAATTAATTTTATGAACTAAAATTTTTGGAGAACGCTTACCAGTGCTCCTAGAAGTGCTTGAGAATGTGATATTTCTGGAAACATTCCCCTTTGTGAAGTGGCATTACACAGAAGTTGCAAATGTAGGCAGTCATACTCCTTTTTCTGTGAACTGCCAAACACAGCATTGCCTAGAAGGATGTTTCCCTTTGGAATGTTCACTCTTCACAATTTTCACGAGGGTATGTTTCCGCATATCACCCGAGTCGCCTAGGGGGTCCACATGAGGCCTGCGTGGGGTGGGAGCTGATGGGCCCGGTCACACTAAGTCTGTGTCTGACTCTCGTTCTGCCACCACCGTGTGGTCCGTAGCCCAGGCCTTTGCCATATTCATCAGAAATGCTTTGTATTTCAATTTTGAATCAGGGTTTAGATTTTTGTAAACCAAAAATGAATTGAAAATGGCACAATTTATAAGCCACAAGGCACCTTTCTTTGTCCACTTTATTGTTTTCCTAGGAAGAGAATAAGCCGATCAGTACTTGGCCTATTATAATAGGCCAAGTACTGATCGGCTCTATCAACTCCCTTCATGAACATATTATACTCAGAAATATAAATAGGTTTCTTTACTTGTCCATGTATCCTTTGAACATCAACCATGCTTAAATTGTGAACTGTGGAAATCATATTCACAACACAAGTATCCCTATCTCCAAAAAACAGTTCTGCTACTTCAGACACTTGCGTTGGGTCCGATGGAATTTGTTTCTCCCCTGGATTTCCACTAAACTGTCCCAAAGTAGGCGTTTTGTCTACTTTTACCCATGTGGCTGTCCCCGCAATTTTACTACCTGCACTTTTGTCGGAGCTACTTTCACTTTTATTGTCTGTGGCCACAATTGTTTGTTGTCCCTTGTCACTGCCACTGTCTAAGTCACTTTCACTACTCCTCTCAGAAGGAACGTCAGATAGCTCATCGGAGAACAAGTCAGATATTTCTTTTTCTCCGAGATATCGCTTGGTCTTCAACCGCTTCTGTCCTTGATTCATATTGCACTAACTTCCTGCCTGGTACATAACTGCTTGAAGGGTCAAAGATCATTTTCCTTTAGAGGGGGAACCAAAAGAGCGAGGTCAAATTACTGCCTACTAAGCAAACATTTCGGAGAAATAGTAAGCAGTAGTCATTCATTTGGGTGGCGCCAGATAAAGGTATAGTGTGTTACAACCTAACATGTCCTAAAATCATGATATCATGCGACCGGTCCGCCGTGTTTAAAAGCCAAAAGCATGATATCATGCGACAGGTCCTCAATGTTTTAAGAATGAGCTGGTGAACAAGGGTTTTCAAAATGAACCAACTTTCATGATGCTGCTAGCACATAAGGTTGCTTCCAGGTATCATGTGGCCATGTGCATGACACACCAGCAGTTGATCATGAGTTGTACAATGCAGTGGGAGCATTACACCAAACACAAACAGTCTGACACAGTAAACTGAGCATTATGAGTCCTATATTTCATGCAGATATGTAAGGCTTATACCGCAACTGGACTTGTAACCTTCACTCTGTGATACAGGACTGCGACAAATGTAATTTCAAAGTAAAATACAACTGTGGGAATCCTTTAATCAAGGACATTCCTACTTCTGCAGGCAATTAAAACTGAATATGCCTTCTGGCATTGTACTTTGTCATAATTACACTGCAAACTATAAAACCGAAATAGGAATCAATGATTTCAACATTAACTGCAAATTATGTGTGTACACTAAAGGTGCTCTGATCCAGCAACAACTGAAAAGCACTACCTGTAATTAGTATAATGTCTGTTTGGAGGTTCAAATAACTATGTTGTTATTTAAAGTGTTTCAATGGAATTAATTTACCTTGGCTTCTATTCTTTCTGCAAGAGACATAAATATGATATTCACATTATTAGAGTTACACTATGTTTATATTGTGTTTCAATCCATATATGTCTCTCTGTCCTTTCTGATTTATTTAAGCAACACATTCCTAAAGAAATCCAGAAAATATGGTTTCATTCCTGAAATGTCAAATATGAGAGTAAGCCAAGTAGTATCCACAATGTATTTATTAAAATTAATAAAAGACCAATATATAACACACAAGTGCATCACAAGTGCTATTCAATACACTTGGTCCAGCATTGCACAGGATGGTACATACATGTTGCCAGAAAACTGCAATCTTCCACTCACTGTTGCTGGCAAAACAGTCACTTCTTAAAGCATCTCCAAAGGGTCAAAACAGATGAAAATCCAATGGAGCAAAGTCAGGGCTGTATATTGAATATTTTAAGATCTCAAAGTGTTGTTGATGGAGTGTTTCAATGGTGTGGGGAAGTGTACTGTCATGCAACAATACCATACAATGACTGATTTTCTGGGCATTATCCATCATCCTAATTTTCATATAAACATTTCAGGGATTGAACTCTGTTTCTGTCCTTGGGTAAGAAGCCTACTCTATTGGGCACAATGGATTAAAGCTAGTCCTTATCTGAAGATATGTTCTCAACTGGACCAAACAGAGTAGGCATTTTACCTGACCATGGTGACACAGTCCAGACTCTGAAACATTGTTTTAAATACAAATTAGGACTATATACAACATAAAAATTCAATCATTGCATTAATATACCAATATGTACTTTTAGATCTTATTAACAGTACACCTTTCGATTGTTATCCTCAGTGTCTACTGCAAATCACTGGCTTCAACTTGTCACACAGCATCCCACTGCAACGTGTACTGTTTATAATCCTACTCATTTGCCAATAATGCTCATGGATTTGACCCTGTGAAGACTGGAACAGTATGGTCATAACTCTTCCCACTTCTGGTTGAGATCTGAACTTTCTGACATGCAATTTTAGATGTTTCCATTCTATACTCTTGATGTTTGCTCTCTGCCTCTCAGTGGCAGATCCAAGTTTCATCACCAGTGAAAATATGACACAAATTCCTAATGATACTCATTCAAAAATGGTTACAGATGTCCAAACAGGTATGCCTACACCAATTCATCACTTGTTCCGGAACCCACACTGCACAGACTTTATGGAAGTGAAGTCTCTCACAGATGAGTTTACTGGTAGAACCATGACTAATCTGCAGTTGGTTTGCCATTTCAGCAGTAGTCAGTGGAGATGGGCATCCTAACAGCTCTTCATCAGTGACATTTATTTGGCCATTTTTCAGCATGTCAACCCATTTGCACATCCTTTTGTTGCAGCAAAACATTACCCTTATAATGTACTGATAGTTCTCCATGAATTTCTGTACCTTTTTACACCTTCAGACCACAAAACTCAAATCAATGCATGCTGCTCCTTTGGTGAAGGCAGTTAAGTCAAACAACCATGCTGACACCACTAGTGGTGAAAAGACAACTGGCTGGTGAAGGTCAAATAAGTAGCTATAATGACAAGAAGATTCTGTGCTTACAGTCACACGCATATTCGGCAGTGGGGCAATTCATAAGAAAAGATATGAACATTTGTGAATACTCCCTGACTTGCCTTCATACAATGTCAACAGTCCATGAGAAATTCCACATCTTACCTGGTTAGTCATGGCGACAAATATTGCAAGAAGAAATAAGTAACAGCTCCATGAGAAGTTCTTCTGGACCTCTTCTTCAGACAGAGTAATAAATTGCCATGTCATCCGTCCTAAGAAGGGGATAGTTACCATGAAGTTATCTCCATTGGTCTCAATGAAATCATGCCTTGTGATGGATGTTGGGTCAATGTGATGCTCACGAAAAGGCCGAAGGAAATTCTGATGACCATAAAAACACATAATTTAAGGCACAATGAAATCCATGATAGTTCCTTCTGCAATGGGGTTCCTAACTATTATTCCAGTGACTGAAAATCATGTGAGACAATATGGATTGGCACACAATAGTGAGACAAAAATCAGTTATTTATTCACTGGTCCTGACCTAAGCACCATACAATGAGGGTATACAGGAAGCATGGAAGTAAAGCTTCATGCATTCTAGATTTCTGCAATGGACAATGAATGGTAAGTGGTGGTTTTCATGCTCTACCCATTTTATACCAGGGAGAAAAATGGCCAGTAGCCATTATATATGAGGTGGGTTGGACTCAGAAGCCAGTTTGAATGTGGAACTGAAAAGAAACATCCAAAACCAATATCAAAACTCATATATTATTTTCATCCTATTCTGTATGTTTTATAAGGCGAAGCTTAATGTTTCAACATTCGCCAGTACTGTTGGAGAGAAAATGGTCTTATTTTTAAGAGATTATCTCAGCTTCACCCACAGAGTTTGTTTATACAGATTAATTCATATCTTCTTACCATGCTGCAGGCTCATTTCCTTATAAATTTATTCGTTAGGCTCTTTTCATGACCTGCAACACTGATTTCACCAATTCTTCCTTTATATTATCATGAAAATAAAGTCTGGTTATCCATATTTCTACATGAAATAACATAAAGCTATGCAAGTAGTCAGGTGTAATTACATCTGAGAGGGAAAAGGTTTAGGGTGGCACACTTTTCATCCCATGCACATCAAACTGGTAGCAACGTTATGAAAATTATAAATTAATGCAGATATAGCAGTTCATCATGTAATAAAATCTTCCATCACATACTAGAATTAAATGTAAAATCCTAGCATACATTTGGATAAAATTAACCAAGGCCTCCTGTGTGTGTGTGTACACGAGATTAGCTCATGTAATATTTTTTCAGTTGTTTATGTTACAGGTACAAAATGTCTCATTACACGCCATATTTTACCAGATCGTTTCTAGACATAAAAATAAGTAAAAATGCTCACATGAATAGGTACCCTGAATGCCTTGCTCAAAATGTGACAGCTGTTCTAATTTCAATTTCCATGGCCACATCTTGGATACTTCACAAATTTAGCAGACTGTGTATAAGAGGAAAACAAACAAACAAGCTATTACTAACCTGTTCGCATTTACTTTCTTACATCAGCTACAAAAAATGACCTCTATGTTCATGGACACAATTCAGCTCTGTATGAAAAAGAAATTCATTAAGTGCTTGAAGATTCCATGTGTATTTTTCATTTCACATGCAAATGTTTTATTTCAGTGCCACAGTTTCTCCCTTGTATGAACTGTACTGGCACAGAGCTTGGTTTACTAGCACCCCCACAAAAAGAAACAGGACAGGATTCAAGTCAGAAGCCTGTACAGGCCAGGAAACTGGAGCTTCATGTCCTCAGCTGATCCAATGCTCAGGATCATTTTTGGACAGCCACTGACACAGTTCACATTATGTGGTGAAGCACTATCATGTTGAAACTACACATACTGACAGACACATCTTCCATTAGTCCACTTAAGTGTGTTACAGGAAAATTAAGGTAATCGTGGCCATTACCTACTGCTGGTAAAATGTGAAGGCCTGGGAGGCAGTCAGCCTACAGGTAGACAGGAAACTGTCACTGTTGATGGCAAGATTGAATTGCATAAGGTTTTTCATCAAACCACACATTTCTAATGAATGTTGGTGATCCCAGACCTAGTGGACACATTCATCATTCATCAGTAATCTGTCAGACAACATGTCCACAGTTTCTTCCAAAACAGTTCCTCCACTTAATGCGATCACAAACTTTCTCCTTCAAATAAAAATATCCTCTTCTGTCCCCAAAGTCATCCAGCATCTTCTTACGTCTTCTTCCTCGTCTTCTGGTCACTTCCATCCACCCTTCCAGTTTGTTTTGTCTCCAGAGGAAACATCTCGCATACATGGTATCTCTGTTTTTTGGAAAGAGACTATCCAGGAAAAGTGATAATGTTGTAGTTTTTCCATTTGCTAGTGGGCACAATCTGTCCATAAATAAAATCATCACTGTGAAAGGAGGGACTCTGGCCAGCAAATTCCATTGACAGAATGTATGTCTTGCAAGTGCATAATGTAGTACTAACTCTTGCACAGACTGAATGTGACACAGATACAACTTCTGTTCTTGTACTATGTGGTGTACAGAAGCATAGGAGGTACCTGCAAGAGCTACAAGATGTCTGGTAGCTCTTGCAGGTTGTCTTTCAATGACCTCAAAGATCTGCTCTTTTATCTGTACATTATACAGAATGTGAACAACCAATATCTTGTCCCATTCAACAGAAAGTAAAGCAGGATAACTTGCACTCTGAAATTAGTACATTTTTCTCTGTATCTTGTAACAGCATCTGTGGCATTTCTGTAGTGCTCACCTAGTGCAAGATGCATGTCCACTAATTTAATACATACATGTCCACTAATTTAATACATAAACAACCACCTTTTATGTTGGATCAGTATATAATGCCCTTCCCCAAGTTCACATTGCTACAGACTGGCTCAGAACACAATACCTATTAGTTCTTTTTATTGGTCCGCATCAAATCCAGAGTAAGACTGTCAGGTAATGTAAACATCAACACAAAGTCTGGCATCAAATGGATCTCTACAATCATAACAATCAACAAGAAATGCAGGCAAAATGCTCTCAGAACATCTCATTTTCAGAATGTGACAGCAGAAGCTTATACTTTTTAATGGTTGACTTTATAAAGAAGGCTCTCAGGGTACATATTCATTTATTTTGAGGTTTGGAAACCACCCTGGAAATTACTGTGGCAAAGAGATTCAATGCCAAGCGGTGACTTTGTAAACAACAGTCGTTGTTATGCAATAGGCAAATAAACAAACACCAGTTTCTATGCAACGGTCAAGGTACTGTTGGACTATAACAATAGAAATTGTGTTTTCTATGTGGTTCGTGCCGAAATGTTATAAGCAAGGTTAGTCGAGTTCCAGAGAGGAGTTGTCAGCAGTTCAGTTCAGTTGGAAGTCAGCCTGTGAAGAGAAGTTCATGAAGTTGCTGTGAAATGGCAGCCAGCATGGGACCCAGTTACTTGAGTTGTCAGTTGACAAAAGTTCTGCACAGGTGGCTGTGACAAGAGGACCTGCGTGCAGGAAGATGAAGAATGTCCCTCAGTAGAAGCTGTTGCCAGGAAATGGCTAATGGAGACTGTAACAGACCGAGGACACTTGTCTGTGTGTGTCAGTGACCTGTAAAGTGTAGTTCCAGGTGGCATATAGAAGTGGTCAATAAAGCCAATATCCAATCCATACCCCATCTATAGTCACACGCCCCCCAAATCGTGACAATATGACATAGAGCAGCAACAAGACACTCAGTATTTTAAAATAGGACAGTGACCATGAGTGATAAACTGGTAAGAATCTTGAAACGAATGTAGTCTGTTTTAAGGTATTGTCATACAAGGCCCTTACAGAGACTTGGGAAACTTATGATGAATATCAGTTAGGATAACAAGCCTCCAAGCTGAAAATTAAACCTTGGGGGGAGGGGGAGGGGGGCTCCCAAATACTAAGTCTGCAAGGCAATCAAAACATTTGATAAATATATTACTAATGATGTATTAGTTACAGGAAATACTTAGGTGGGGCATGGGTGTGCCACAAAGCCTGATGTAATAGACATTTTTGCAACACATTAATGATAGCCAATTCTAACAGATATAACATTAACCTTGCCAATGATGGGGAGTTCCACAGAGCCCCACGTGTCTGCACCCCAATGAACGAGTCCTGAGCTCAGGTCAGCTGTGATGATCCCACACAGTGCTGCTATCACAATGGTGCTCAGATTCTCCATCCGAAAGTGGATGACGATGAAGTAGAAGTTTACCATCATCAAAGTTATACAGATTCCAACACAGATACATTCTTGTATACGTTTTCCTGAGAAGAAGGAAACAAAACATAAAAGTTTTTGCCCAAAATTTTCTAATTCTAAATGTATGAGTATTATACCTAGGACTGTAATGTATCTTTATTTCAATACCAAACCCCACCGTCAACAGAAAGTATGTCGGGTTACACAGTGTTCCATATCTGAGTAGCCCTGATATGAGAGGAAAAACATATTGGGTTATAATTAAAACAAATAAAAAGAGAACAAAAGAACAAAAAAGAAGAGAGTAAAAAAAAAATACAAAACAAAAAAAAATATTTTTAAATTGTACTTCAGAGGATATTATTTGAACAGAAACTCCATGATTTATACATCTCTGCTATAGCATCATTACTGCAGTTAGATCAAGTGGCAATTGCTGGATATGTGGTTTTAACTGGAGAAATGACAAAAAACATGTAGAATTCTGGAAGGAAACGTCTTCAAAAGCTGGGACTTCACAGACTAAAGATGTAGAAAATAATATTTATAACTAGACTTGAAAAACTCAGTTGTGATTATGCAAACTGAACTCTACTGATTCAGCATCATGCTCTGTGATAAGATCTGGTGTTAGTGGTGTTGTCTTTTAGATTTTATGATCAGACCATTTCTTAGTCCCTCACATAGAAATGGTGTGCTCCACACTTTTAATTTTAACCCAGTAAAGTACTATTCCAATAATGTTAATGGTTTCTGAAAATGCATAAATAATACACACACTGGGACCACAATTTCTTTCTGTACATATGTTACTTTATTCAATAATGCGGTTTAAAAACTGACATATTTAATGTTTAGCCTTTTAATTTCAAATTATAAATTGTGCTTTTTACATAGTTACCCAAAGACATGTGCATGTATTCCATTTTCCCTGTTTCCTGCTACAAAAGAAAGGACAAACCAGACCACATCATAATAAAGCAATCCAAAAAATGGGAGGCATAAATTATGATCTTCTTGCATTTTGTAAAATGGACATCTTTTAAAAACGTTTATTTAAAGTTAAATATATATATTTTATACCTTACACCAGTTTTTTATACGATGATCTATTTTTAGACGTTCTGTATATAAAATTAAACCCTTATGTGGATGTTATTTCTGTTTTGAACCTAATATCAACACCTATACCACTAAGATAGATTTTTTCAAGGCAGATATGGGAGACTGTAACTAATGGAAATTTTGATTTTTGGCCTAACAAACGCATAATAAAGACTGGTTTACATAATGTCGTTAAGTGGCCTTTTCCATGCAGCCCATAAACTGCTACACAGATACTGCTGAAATTATATATGGCAGATCTTACAACAAAATCTGTTAGGCAGTTCTGACCTTTGGCCATATTGATCTGTAATAAAGTCTACTCCACATATCATCATAAACATCATATCATCACGTTTTTCCTTGAAATTTTATATGGCATACTTCCACTAGAACTTACTGGGTAATTCAAATTTTAGGCCACAGATTCATAACAAGGCCTACTCAACATATGACCATACACTGACCTTTTCATATGTCCCATGAACCATTCACACAAACTGTTGAAATTCAATAAAGGAGACTGTCATCAAAAGTTGTTGGGCAAGTCTGATTTTCTGCAACTGATTCATAAGAAGGCCTGGTTTGCATTGCACCATCAACTGACTTTACCATGTACCCCTCAAACCATTCTACATATGAAGAGTTCTATCTTCTGGGATATAACGCCATTTAGTGCACTGAAAGTCAACCGACATTTCAGAGGAACATGTGAACGCCATCTTCAGGGTCGAAGAATAAGCCAAGCAAGTAACCCACTCTGTTTGCTACCTGCTTTCATGCTGGATTCTTGCTTGGCTTATTCTTTGACCCTTAAGATGGACACGACATATTCCTAAGAAACATCAACGGGTTTTCATTGGACTTCATGGCATTACAACTCAGAAGACAGAACATTTCATAACCACAGCTGTGAGAACCTCCAATCCTACGTCCAAGGTAATCTGTTGAAATACATGATACAGTCATTAAGTTTGTGGGCTGTGGTTTTATCGCATCATATTACAAGATATTCACATACACTTACACAGGTCCACATCGGCCCTCAAAATAGTTGCCATTGGCTTTTATGCAAATCTGACAACGTTGATATAGCTGCCAAAAACAATGCTGAAACATTCATTTACAGTAATCTGTCAGAAGACAGGCCCACAGTCTCTTCCAAAACAGTTCCTCCACTTAATGCGATCTAGAGCTTTATCCTTCAAATGAGAATATCCTCTTCTGTCCCCAAGGTCATCCAGCATCATCTTATGTCTTCTGGTCACTTCTATCTGCCCCTCTATCTTTCCTTCAATAACTTCTTTTAGAAGGCAGTTACTATGTAAGATATGAACAATCCAATTAGCCTTCCGTTTTCTTATTTCGTGTAGGATATTCCTCTGCTCATTGAAATAACACTTCTTCACTTCTCACATAATCGGTCCAACTGACCTTCTCCATCCTTCTCCAACACCACATTTTGAAGCTTTCCAGGTGTTTCTGATCTACTGCCCTAAGTGTCCATGTTTCAGCCCCATACAGAGCTATTCTCCAAATGTAGCATTTCACTACTTTCTTTCTCAAATTTAAGTCAAATTTGCTGGTAAAAAGATTCTTCTTCTTGCTAAATGCAGCTTTTGCCATGGCAATCCTAGATTTAATTTCACAAGTACACCTTCCATCATCTGTTAACAAGCTACCCAAATATTTAAAACCTTTCACATTCTCCAGTTGTTTTTAGTCTATCTTTATTGTGACTGGAGTTGGTTGTCCCAAAATTTTCATTACTTTTGTTTTTTCCACATTCATTTCCATGCCATATCACCTTCCAATTTCGATTAGTCTATCAATCATACCCTGTAGCACAGTTTCTTCCTTAGCCATTAACACAAGGTAATCTGCATATTTCACAGTTTGAATAATTTGCCCTCTTAATTTTAAGTTTCCAAGCCCATCCAGAGCTTCCTTGGTAAAGCATTCGCTGTACAAGTTGAACAAAATTGGTGATAAACAGCATCCTTATCAAACTCCTCTTCCAATCTTCACACTTCTTGTCTCCTCTCTGTCCAGTCATACTCTAACTTTCTGATCCATGTACAATTTGCTGATCAATCTTCTTTCACGCCAATCGATACCTGTTTCCTTTAGGATCTGCATTAATTTGGTCCAGTTTACATGGTCAAATGCCTTCTGCCAGTCTATGAAGCAAGCACACAGTTCTTCATCTATCTCCAAAGTTCGTTCTGCTATAATTCTCATCATCCCAATTGCATCCCTGGTTCCTTTTCCTCTTCTAAATCCAAACTGATCTTCTCCAAGTACATCCTCTATTTTCCTTTCAATTCTTCTTTTAAGTATCTTTGCTATTATCTTTGCTGTATGTGCAATAAGACTTATTGTGCGATGGTCGCTGCATTTTGTAGCTTTTGTCTTTTTCTTTAAGGCAATCATTGTAACTTCTGTAAAGTCCTTGGGCCACTCTCCACTTTCATATATGGTGTTCATTAGTTTTGTCAGTGTTTTCAAACCACCTTCTCCCAGTAACTTGAGCACATCTCCAGGTACATCATCATCTCCTGTAGCCTTTCCCTTCCTCATTTCCTTGATAGCTTTTTCCACCTCACTTTGTAAAATATATGGTCCTTTCTCGTCTGTATCTACTTCTTCTTCCGGTTCAACCTCCAAAGTTTCTGGCCGATTAGGTCGATCATATAGTTTTGTAATATAATTTTCCCAATATTTCAGCACTTGCCTCTGATCTACTATTCTATTCACATGGGAGTCTTCGATGCCAATATTTTGAATCCCATGGTTCTCTTTCCATCATAGTTCTTCTGTCTTCATGTACATCAAATCATAACATCCTGTCCTTTGAAATTCTATAATCTCATTACATATCTTCTCAAAATATTCCTTTTTGGCCCTGGCCGTGGCTCTTTTCAATTCATTCCTCAGTGTCCTGCATTTCCTCCTGCCTTCTTCATTGTTTACATTATTCCATTTCCTTCGCTCCTCCATTTTACTCATCATCTCCTGTGTAACCCATGGTTTTCTTGCTATCTTCTCAACTTTACCAACCAAATCACTGATAGTATCTAACATGCATTCTTTTATATTGTTCCACTGCGCTTCAGCATTTCCGCTTTCACCTTCAATTGCACCGAGTTTCTCTTCTAGGGTCTCTTGCACGCTTTGTCTTTGAGCATATAACTTCTCCAAATCCCATCTGGGTCTGCGCTTTCGAAATCCTATAATTTTCTTCAACCTGGTTCGGAACTTGGCAACCAGCAAGTTGTGGTCAGAGTCAATGTCTGCCCCAGGAAGCGTCTTCACATCCTTCACACTGTTTCTGAATCGATGTTTCACAAGGATGTAGTCCAGCTGATGCCTCTTCCAATCCCCAGGTGCCTTCCATGTGTAAATTCTTCTCTTTGGCTTCTTGAACCAAGTGTTGGTAACAATCAGTCCATACTGGCAGGAAATTCCCGTACGGCGTCTCTTGTGGCACTGACAACCTCCTCGGATGACTGAAATATATGACCACACAGCTTTGCTCTCAAGCGGTGAAAGAGAAGGAAATCACATGGTGTGAGATCAGGTGAGTACAGAGGGTGTGGCAAAACGATGGCCTGTTGCCTTGCCAGTTCCTCTTGGACAAGAACAGAGTGATGTGCAGGGGCATTGTCATGTAGCAACAGCCAATTCTTCCTATGCCAAACGTTTCATTAGGGGATTTGCCTAGTTTCTGGAAGAACTGGATGTTTGCCCATTGTTCAAACTGCCACATTTTTTATTTCCACCATGTGCATTTAACTGCAGTTCACAATAGAGGCCGTAGTTCTGCTTACACTGTTTGCACACAAGTGTCTCTTGCTGTGACGAGATATGAACTAACAGGGCATCATACTCTGCTTCAACTTATTTGTTGTAGTGCACTGCAATGATGATTTGCGACCAGTTCACGAACTTATTGACTATG